GGTTTATAACTTTGTTAAATTTCTTCTGATTTTAATTTGTAAGTAAAATTTTATTATTTTTATTAATCATGAATTGCAAAAAGGCAAATGAAAAGCAACAGAAAACTAAAAAAATGACTAGAATCACAATGGAACTGAAAAAAGAGATTGTTGAGAAATATGAAGGTGACATGTGTATTCGAGATTTAACTGTTGCATGTGTATTCCGAGAATGACAATATTGACAATTGTGAAAAATAAAGACATTATTAAATCTGCTAATGTTGCAAAAGGGGTTAAATCAATTTCTAAACAGAGATCAAAGACATTAGATCATGTTGAGAAATTGCTTTTGCTTTGGATAACTGAAAAACAGTGTGCTGGAGACAGCGTATCAGAAGCAATTATTTGTGAGAAAACTTAAAAGATACATGCTGATCTCATGAAAAATCAAGCAGGAAGTAGCCAGGAAAGTGAGGTGTTTAAAGCCATTTTTTTACATGAGAACAAATTAATCATTTTTACATTACTTCTTATGGGAAAGGTTGGTTTGATATATGTTCTATTCGGTATAAGTCCAAACATCAGGAATGGATTAAGATCATATACCGAGGTTCCACTGTATATCAAATTTATATTTTCATTGAAAAGTTCATTTATTATTAAAATTTTGTATATAAATTTAATATCAAAAATATTTTAATTTCTTCACTTAAATTCTAAAGCCAAGTTATGAGCAAGCATATTCAGGCACAGTCATAAATGAGTAATTTAAGAATTTGCTTATTTATTATTAAAAAAATATACAGAATGATCATAATTAAAAGTACTATTCAACACTGTCTGAAGGGATGGGATATGTAGCAGTCCAAACTCAACTAAAATTTTCTGTTTCAGGAGATTTTATGCAGAAGATTTCCATAGAGAAAAATTGTTCCAAAACTCACTACTACAGAAGATGCAACAAGTGCAATTAGCAAAAATCTTGATGCAATTTTTTAAGGTGTTGTAGTATGAAATGCAGTTACAGCATTAGTATTGTTTTTATTAAACAAGACAAGCATATTCAGCCAGTCATAACAACTGCTGCTGATCTCCATTAATATGAATAATGTTTCATATGCCATAGACATTTTATATCTAGAAATTGACATAATAATATGTCAATTTCTAGATATAATATTCAATGTGTATTATGCATAAGCTATATATTATTTTTGCCTCATGTGGCACCACAAGTTCTATAGTGGTAAGTTTTGAAATTAAATTTTTTTCCCTGTAGAATCTCTCCTGTGTCCAGAAACATCAGCATAAAAAATTTGGTTGAGTTTGGATTGCTCCATATTCCTTCAGATAGTGCTGAATAGGAATACTTTACAATTACACAGTACGTTAGATTATTTATTATGTCTTTCCTTAAATGATTTAGCCTATACAGTTAACGTTAAAATAAGGTTAGATCCAGAAAAAATCAATAGCAGATTATATCAGATAAAATCAACTTTTAAATAATGACAAAAAATGCAAAGAATTTTACCTTGTCTGTTTGCATGAAACTGTTTAGGTGTTCTTGAAAAACGGCCTCTGCCCCGTCCACGATGAGGAAAATTCCCTAAAATTTAAATTTAAAACATGCTATAATTTTAATTATTGTTTTTAATAAGTTCATTTTATTAATTTAGATTTGAAAAAAGTTGTACCTCTTCTGGAATGAAAAGGACCACCACCTGGTCTGGATGGCATATGGAAAGTATCATCTATCATAACATGAAAAAACAAATTAATTTCAAAGTTATAAAAAATAATTATAAATGAATTCACAAATACAATCAAACCCAATTTATGTTTTTCAAGAAAGCTGAGAAAAATATCATATAAGCAGAGGGAAAAACATACAAATCGAACTGCTATGAATTTTTTTCAGAATGAATATAATTATCATAAAAATACAATGCAGCACAAATTAACACTATACAACTGAATTTGTATGTGTATTCTTAACAAAAAGTATCAATTTATAATATATATATATATAATTAACTGAAAACATACTTAAATCCAGTAAAAAAAAAAAAAAATACAAACAATCAATGATTCAAATTGTATTGTTTATCACATGCACAAGGGTTAAATATACAAATTGGTTAAAATATCTAAAGAAACTGACCTAAAATAAAAATACTACACAAAATTAATATAAATAAAAGTACATTATATAAATGAGTAAGCGTGTAACAAAAAAAGAGATGATAAATTAAACAAGACAATTTCAAACAATGCCCCCCACACACATAATAACAGCACCATATCTCTACTGTTAATTGCACTCCCTTTACAAAGTGCCTTGTAGATTTAGAGTATCTCCAAATATTTTAGATGAGATGGAGTTGATGCACAATGCAAAGTATCCTATCAAAAAAGACATCAATGTCCCATCAGAGGTAAAAGCCACTAAGGTAGTTGTAGTCAAGCATTTTCTGATTGATTCTTGATGTTCTTTGCTCCTAGTATGCAGAGATCTACACATGGCACCGAATATATTCATAGGGGTGATTATCCTGTTGTCATATAAAGGTATTGAGTAAATGCCTGGAAGATGATGTTTCATTGGCAGGATCTTTGTCATTACTGAGTAAGGAGAATACATTTGAGCTTCTTTTATATGCAATTCAAAAACTAGAGTATTGTGCTATATCTTTGTAGATCCCATTCAACAGTAGTGCAATGCTCCAAATTTGAATCAATTGTAAGGTAAAAAGGCTAAATTTACTCTAACATTAAGCAATCACCTGAGCAGAAAAATAAATTTAACTAACTGCATTAAATAATTTTCTTATTAAGAATAAAATATGATAAGAGTGATTAGCTCTTTTGAAAATTTAAAACTGTTAAAAAATGAAAATGTAAATTAAATGAATGAACAGACATAAGTTAATAATTCACTATATAAATAAAATATAAATTAATACTAAGAGTACTTCTTACTATAATTATTAAATCCAAAATCAGCATTATAGCCATAATCTTGTGACATATCATATCCATCAGAGAAATTGTTGGAATAATCAAAATTTGTTGCATTCATTCCTCTATAATTGCCATAATCATTGGATGGATTATTATAAGGACCAAAATAGGAATAATCTGTATTATCTGGTCGATATCCCATATATCTGTTAAAAGAATAGAAATATTTACATTAACAAAATAGCTCAGAACTATTGTTATTAAGTATTCCATATGGTAAATAAATAAATAGGTATAAAACTTTAATTATAGTTTTACAGAATTTACAGTTTAAACTCTTATATTTTTGGATAAATTAAAATTTTTTTTCAATTCATAAGAATTTTCTCACCTGGTGTTTATAGGATATGATACTTCCCACTGATTTCTTGGCATCTGATTCATATTTCCAGAATACATCATATCACCAAACTGAGATGATCGGTCATAAAATCCTTAAGAGGAAATATTATTATTTTAAAATAAAATTATACAATATCTTCAAACTAATGTTATATGCATTTATATATAGAAAAAAGTTGTAAAAATTGGCATAATAACTTGTAAAAATTTGTATATTAAATTTAATATACATTTTTAATTTTAGAAATTAGTATAATTATGTATGGAATAATTTCGAAATATAATAATTTTTGTATGTATTTTGTATCCACAAAAAATTTCAGCAACTGGTTTTAAAAATCAATAAATTGTAATTGGACTAATTAAAGATTTAATAAATAGAAAACTACAGATAAGGAAATAAACTTAATTTCACTTTCTCTATTCATTCATCATAGCATTGTAACAAACTCTTCCAAATATATTGATCTATATATAGCAAACTTGTAATGAAGAAGTTATTTATGTCATCTTGATAAAATATATACAAATTATCTATAATAAAATAAATGTAAAAAAAAAACAAAAGCAAAGAAATTAGATTCTACTGTATATGAATGAAGTTATTGATGACTGTTGATTTATAAGGAATGACAAAAAATATTACATATTATACATAAATAATTACAAGCGTATTAAAATTTATAATTAATTTGTTAATTATTTTAATATCTATCAATTTTTTTGACTTACCCAAAATACTCATCTTATGTAATTAATGTATGTGCTCAACAAAAAAAATTGACAATTTTTTCCTTACATACTAATAAAACATTAAATTATGAAATTTTATAAACTCAATGTACCTTGGTTAAAATCAAAATTTCCATCACTACTTCCCCCTGCTTCCATATTCTGTGATCTGGGTCCATAACCATTACCACCCATTGTATTTCCTTGTCCAAAGTATCTTCCTCTATTTCTATAAAAGCAAAAAATTAGCTTGAATTTAAGAAACCAAGTGAATTACAATAAAAATTAGATATTTCTTAACTGTGTAATACTTAATAACAATCTGTAATAATATGGTGAATATTGAATGAGATGATCAGAAATTCAACACAAGCATTAGTATATATTCCTATCCACCGAATAGAACTAATATTATCAGTGTTAAAAACTATGGAAAATTTTCATTATTATTAACATTTTCAGTATTATCATGGAAGATAACAAATTTGCCATCTTTTTGATTTATAAACATGGTGTATGTTCTGTATCAAAAAATCATAATTTTGACTTATTTATCTGAACTATAATTTAGTGTTACATTTATGCAAGAGAATCCTTTTTTTTATTTATAGAAACAATGTTCTATCCAGAATTTTTTTTGTTGGGTAGTCAATAAAACTGCCCCATCATATCAATAATCTTGTTCTGTCTTGAACAAGTTTAACAATGTATTTGACACCATAGTTTGAAATCAGTTGTCATTATTTTGGAATTGTTAGTTATTTTAACCATCTTTTTTTTAAGCTAATGTAAATTAGTTTAATATGACTTTTTTCTCATGTCACTTATTTAGGGATTTTTATGAATTTTTTGATAAGAAAAAAATTTTCATAAGTCTATATGAATATATTTTTTAAAACTGAATTATACCTTCAGTTTAAAAAATGATCATGGATATTATTCTTAATAATTTTGGAGATGTGGCTGTTTGAGTTACATCACAATATTTCCTGGGAGCAGATGCAGAACATGCTGATAATTTTAGGAATGCAAACCAAAGTAATATAAAGTTTGATTGACTCTTATCTATGAAACACCAAAATGTGCACTAATTTGTCATCACTTGTAGTAGAAATGTGCTCTATCAACTCAGAGATATAGCCAGAAATTTTTGAGTGGAGAAAAATTCTATGCTGCAGGGAAGGGCTTTTAGATCAGTGTAAATTTAAGTCAAATTTTGCAACTTTTCATTATATAAACATGTGTCCTAGTCAAGCAATATATAGAACAGAACTGACATACAATTATGAAGACATAAGAGCACCTTTAATTACGAATTAAACTACAGTCACTTTAGCAACTATTTCAGTCTAATGCACCTATACTTCTTATGTATCCAGTAATTAATTGCTTTTTGAAAATTAAATGCCTATACAAGTTGACCTTCTACAACAATCCTCATAATAGCATCTAAAGAAGCCTGGCTTAAGCAATTATTAGTTTTTACAATCTTAATTTGTGAAAAGGCTCTTTCACAAGTAGCAGTGTGAAATGGAATAAGTCTGTAGCATTGAGCTATTTTGCACACATTTGGAAATAAAGTTTTGTGTGTCACATTACAATACAAATATTTCACCAATTGCACAGTTGTTTTTTTTTTTCTTATGATGAACTGCTTGAGGTCATTCTACTCTCTGTTAGTTTCACCAACATACAATCCAATTCTGTGACATATTTAATAAATTGCATTCTTTCCAAAATTGTTGTAATTGAAATGCATAGAAGCTTGGATGGATCAAAAATTTGGAATTGATTAATAATCTCAGAATTAGATATGTTGAATCTTAAAGCAATATTATCAATGAGATTACTGATATAATTTGCTCTCATTACTGTAAATTTGGACTTAGATTTATTGGTACATTTAGTAATTGTCATGTCTTTGCTTTCACACATTTGAATAAATTCATCAATGTCCAGGACATCTGTATGTATGTCTTTCGTCCTTTGCAGTTGTTTTATTGTTGAAAGCACACACTCCTTCACTATTGAAAGATCTCCATCATCATTTGGAATAATTTAGATAACCTGTTGATTACAGACAAAACCTCACACATCATCAGCATTATGGCAATAAAGCTATATTCCGTGATGAATGAACAGAGCCCTTTAGTTCTCACATCCTTTCTTCACTTTCTCTTTCCAAACTTATTACAACAGATGAATAAATTTCTTTGAGTCTTAACACAACTTCACCATGACTTAACCATCTGGTTGAGCTTGGTTCAAAAAACTATCACTGATTCACCAAACAATAACTGAATCTCTCTCAGCCCTGCAGTTTTAACTGTGCTGTTAGGACAAGACTCCACTAGTGTGAGATCCGACCCGTGGGCATCCCAATTTGTTTTTCTTTCTTCCAAATTTTAACAACTGTAACATATTTTGAATAAATTTATCACTTTAAAAGGAAAAAAAAAACCCATCGTCAGAAAAACGAAATCAACTCTCTCTCTTATATAAACATATTAAGTATCACGTTACAATTCTCTCCTTTAACATAAATATTCGACCATCTAACAATAACAGCCGTCTGCAAGTCTTAATGTTGACGATTAACCTCATACCTGCTAAGACATGGGTCACATGACGACTTTTCTCACAGCAAAACGTATAAAAAGCCTCCTCCTTCTTCAATCGGGGGAGTTGCCAATCGAACGAACAGCGACAGAGTCGGACATCGAAGTTTTCCCCATTGCAGACCTACTCCACCTTGAGCCACACCTCGCACCGCATATCAGAAATTAAAACCGGAGTATCCATCTGATATTATCCCAGAGGTATGAAATATTATTGTGAACTCTCTCTATGCTACGTTGAAGGAGTTTTGTGTAAATTTTCTTTAGTTAGTCAGTTTAATAAACTCTTGTTTTGTTTTTAAATGGTGTCGTTTACTCGAATGTACATCGTCTTATAGTCGACTCCTCTGACTCTCCTCCACTCACGTAACGCGTAACTGAACGTAACGCCATCCTTGACAAGAAAGTAGGTCACTGACCTGTGGCCATATCAGAGAGTCTTTTCCAACCTCCCCGGCAGCTCACACTAGCATAAAAATGGGTGTAAAACCCCTCGCTGTAAAAGCTTTTAATCACGTGACCATGATATTTTAGCCTGAGCAGGTCATAAAACCAGCGTAAAAGTGAGTTGAGCAGTGCTCAACTTTCGATGCGAATACAACTGTAAAACAGTTCCACACACCAATCAGAAGTCGATGAAATCTAGGTCACTGTGACACGGTGCGAAAATGACAGAAAACAAGTTTTTGTGGATATGGATGGCCAAAGGAAAATCCTTTAATTTAGAGGAGTATATAATAAAAAAGCTAAGCTTATAAGTGCTGTATATTATCTTAATAATACAATAATAAAAGTTAATATATAAAAGTAAAGATATTATTTTTACTACATTTGTAATTATATTACAGAAAAAAACTTGTAGAATATAATCATTGTCTTTATATTGATATATCACGTATTCAACAGTCTCCCGTTTCCATCAATTCATGTGTGAAGAAGTATTTACTTTCAACACTTGGGGCAGCACCATCGCCATAAAAACTTCTCTAGTCGAACCTCTACCATAATCTAGACGCAAATGCAAATAGGTCATGTGATTAAAAGTTTTTATGGCAAAGGTTTTACACTAGTGGAGTCTCAGCCTTAAGGAAAAAGTCAAATAACTGCCTGACAATGTTCAGAAAAGCTGCTACTTTTGGGCATTTCTGAGCTACCTGGGATTATGCAAGGTTTAGCCTACAGAAGCAATGTACAAACCACTGTGCCCTGCACAGTGGCTTGTAATTGCTTCTGTTTGATGCTGATTAACCATACTCCTTTGAACTTCCACTTGCCTTTCTGTCACTTTTTTTATAACACCATTCCTGTAACCAATAAGCACTGGTGCACCATCCAGTTCCACATAATTTGCTGTAATTCAAATTACCTCCTCAATCAATTTGGAAATATATATTGCAATTATATTTGCATTCAGAGACACATGAATACTGTCAGAACTAGATTCACAATTTTCAAAACATATCTTGGTTGATATACATTTGTGATGCCTCCAGCATCACAACTGTATATCAACCAAGATCGACCTTGTTGCCACTCTATACAGAAATATGCAACATGCTTGCCTTTTTTGAGACTTCAGAGTGTTTTCATTCTCTCTTTTGTTCAACTTATTACCAGAATTCATATTCAATTCTGATTTGATGTTTCTTCATGTGACAATTGCACAGAATTTGAACTCTCTAACAACTGAGTTTCTAATCCTGTAATATGTTGGCCATTTTCCATAAACATTATCAAGCCACTTGAGATGCTTTCACTCTTTTCCCCTAATGTTGATTGACTTTATTGAACAATTGCACTCACTGTACTTTTTTTAACACCTCTGTGATATTGATATATTTTATCTTACATTTTTATGGTCACAGCCTGATTATTTCAATTATACTTTGCAGACTGTTAGGTTCCAAAAAACAAAAATCAAAACTGTTGCTCTATCACTCTGTGAAACAGTTTAAAATCATCACTTACTTTTTCAAGCTGTAATATTTCTAGTAATTATTGCCATTTCCTATATATTGACACATATCATTAGCATTTAACATAATTTTAAAATTTCGCCATCTTCAAAAGTTGGTGTTATTTCTACTTGCTCATGTACACAGCCAATTTACCATTTTTCTTGTGCTGGCTATCTAGAAAATGGTTACCTGCCATCGAACTTGCTACCAATTACCATCTAGCAGATAACATTTTAGATTACATTAATCTAATAGCTTCTAAACTGATGCAAAGATTTAAAAAAAAATCTAGCAACGAGTTGCATAACTTTTCCATTTCAGGTATCATGAGAAATCATGAGATATTAAATGAAATAGATGCCAACATACATACACACACACACACACACATCCATGGAATTTTACCCCTTTTTAATTTTTTTGGGGGTTCAGGGAGTCTAAAAACACAGAGATCTATTTTGAATACTTATGCATTATTCAATTTATATTGCAACTGAAATCTTTCTTAGTAATTATACTTATATTCATTAAACAATTCCAATGATTACAGAAAATTAATTACCTGTTTTTACCTCCTCTATTTTTTCCACCCCTAGATCCATTCCAAGAGGTTTTATATTCTGTTTCTGCCATCTCTATATAATTTCTAAATAAAAAGTTAATAAGACTTAGCAAATAATGTTGCAAGATTTCATAAAAAAAAAGTACAATAAATAAATAAATTATAATGATCAAATTATCATTATTTGTTTTATGGATCAATAAAACAAATGGAAATATCAGACTATCTCCTTCATAAGAAATTCTATGTAATATTTTTTACAATATAATATTTGAATTTCAGATATAACTTAAAATTGTATTCAAAATTTCAAGTTTTAATACACTTATATAATAAGCTACATTTTCTCTAACTCTTTTCCAAACACAATAAATTCAGTTTCCTTTTAAATAAATAAATAGATAAATTGAAATTTTTTAACTAGCTTTAATTCTAATTCTTACATTTCCTTTTGAACAAATTATCATCTTTATAATTTTTCCCATCTTCAAATATAATTTAAATTATCCACTTACAGCAAAAAAGAAAAATAGTTGATAATTCATTTACTTCAAAAACTGATTGTATGTATTGAAAACATAAATATATATTCAAAACTAATAAAAGGAATAAAATTATTCAATGATTTGAAACACTTCAAATCCTTATATTTAAATGTGTTCAATTGCAAGAAGCCTTCATCAGATTAAAAAAAAAAAAGCCAGTTTACAGATAGAACAAGGATGAACATATTCAAAAATGGAACAAGTAAAATGGCAAAACCATATTTGGGACAAGACTATGTCTCAGAGACTCACTACTAAGCAGAATCACTTTGACGAATAAGGCGGGTATCGTTCTCATTCTCCAATCTTCTTTGGAATCACTGCTTTTGGGTGCGATTGTTCAAACTTCGCCGGTCATCCACAATGCATTTTTAATGAAATTAACCTATTTCCAATTTTGAAATTTCCCTCCGTTGTGCGTCGGCCCAGGTTGAATTTTTGTCGATGCGTAACGAAAATCTCTCATTTTTGAAAAAAATAATCATGGCTATTGTATCGTCCAAAATTATTTTTTTATTTTGCACAAACAATATACAGTTTAACCTGATTATAACGTCATTGGATGTAACGACAACCCTAATATAATGTCAAATTTTTACCGTTCCAACAATACTAGATAATGTTAAAAAACTTAATTGTAATGACACCCTGTTTTAATGTCATATTTGAAGCACTCCCAAATTTACAAAATTAGATTTCAAATTTTATTTAACATAGAAGAAACTGTGTGTTCAGTCCTAAGGTCAGAGTTCACTTCTCAGAATGACTGTGGGTGGTACTCTCCCTCACCTGACTTCGATGGGGTGAGGTGCCTGTTTTGCCTGTTTGTAGAAAAGGGTCACCATTTTGTATTTTATTTTAACTCGGTTCCTCGACTACCTATGAGTCTAGATTTTTTTATGCGCATTGATTTGGTCACCTAATACTCTGTGCCAAATATCAACTTTTCACATGTACTCCTTCATACCTCTATGCTGGTAATAAAAAACAGTAAGATTTTATCAATATAAACAAGACATAGTCTTGTCAATAAATATAAGTCAACTTTGTAATAATTGATAAAATAGTATTTTTTGTTAAAATTATATTAATTATGTTAAATAGAACTACTGCATAAATTAAATCAGTATTTCCATTAAATTTTATACAGTAAACAAAACTTGTCAAAAACATTCCAAACAGAATATGATGCAATTTAAAAATTACAAGATAACATAAATGACAAAAAACATTAACAACTTTACAGATGGTAAATATATCAATTTGAGTAACATAACTTTTAAAAATAGAAACAAAAATATTAAAATAATGTAGGAACTGAAGTTTTAAACAAATGTCTCGTAAGTTTATGATGCAATTTGAAAATTACAATGGACATTGCATCAATAATGATAATATTTATTTACCTCAAGCATGGCTATACATTTTATATAACTTAATTCAAAAGCCTATAAAACATACATTTAACTTTAGTTCCTACATTATTTTTGTTTTTATTTTTAAAAGTTATATTATATTATTATAAAAAAGTTTTTATAATAATATAATATAATGTTCATCTTTGTTCTATTTGTAAAACAGTTTTTTATCTGAGGGAGCCTCTTTGTCAGCATTAAGAAGCCTCTTAATACTGCCAAAAACATTTGTAATTCCATTAAATGCAACTTGTTGGATTAGGTACATATGGTGTTGGTTTGTGTTAGTGTCAATTCTATATTAACATTAATTTATTATAATTATTAAAATTGTTATGAGATGGCAGCCTAACCACCTACTTTTAGTCAAATTACAGTAGAGCGTCGATTATCCAAAAGTCAATCATCTGAAAGAATTCCAGTCGGCAAATTTAAATTTTCGCCAATGCTGTGGCGCTGCAATCTTTGGCTATGTCTTGGGCTACTCAAATATTTTACGTTTTTGATACTAAATTAACTTCTGAAGTATAATTTTTTATTGTTTTTATATTTTTCAATATATTTATTTTGTTTGTACAAAATAAAAAAATAATTTTTAACGATACAATAGTCTTCGTTAGGCTTAACAGTGATGAAAATTCAATGCAAAGCAACATGCAATGGAGAAAAATTTCAACACGGGATAGGTTAATATATTTTTTCGTATATAATTGGTTATCCGAAACATCGATCTTCCGAACAACCCAGTACCCAATTGATTCGGATAATCGACGCTCTACTGTACTTTATATCTAATTATTAAATTAGCCTTAGTATAGTCCAATAATACAATAGATCATTTGACATTATTTAAAAACCACACACACACACATACATACATACATATATATATTATTGTTTATATATATATATAAACAATAAGAAACCAGCAAGGTGATATTGAAATATGATTGTTTACCAACACACAAAAACAACTCAATGTGATAATGGGATTTAATAACTAATAATTTTTTGTATTTATTTAATTTCTTAAAATGGGCAATTGTTCATGATATTCTTACATTCCTAAATGTACAACACTTCAAATTTATTTTTAACAGGCAGCAATTCAAAAAACATTTTCAAAGAAAGAAAATACTCATTTTAAGTAGAAAATAAATAACTAATGTGTAAATCCATGTAATTTACAATTACTTTATGTAAAAATTGTATTGATTTGAAAAACCTCGCTCATCAAGACACAAACCAGCAATCTTACAAATATGAGTGAGACATGCTCTCACCAAACCATGAAATCTTTGATGAATGTTCTACAAAATTAGTCATAAATCCCGGGCAGCATTTATGGTTGGTGCTTTTGGGCGTATTTTGAATAATTGTTTAATTTTTTGCAGGTAAGCTCACTGGTTTGTTTCATCATGTCTAAAAGGAAGACTTATTCACCAGTCAGTCAGATAGTAGATCTAAAATTTTTCATTCTGACCCATTGGAGGAGACGAGTATCTTGAAGTTACTTCAGGGAGAATTTGATATTAAAGATGGGATATCATTACTTATTCAGCTAAATTTAAAGCAGAATAAGAAATTGGAAGGAATGATTGCTAAGATTGATAGAATCTACTCCTGGGTAGAAAATTTGGACAAAGCTATTGTTAATTAATCTAGAAACTAGATTAGAAGATTTAGAGAAAAAATTTACATATGATACTGGTAAGATTCTATCAGATAATAGAATAGATTTGGAAAACAAAATGGCCGAGTTTACATAAAGTCAGGAGCAGTTTGAGTGTTTTTTAAGGTGTAATAATTTAATAATTTCTGGATTACCTGAGTCGGAAGATGATAATTTGCAAGTTAAAGATCTAGTATTGGAATTTTTTCAAAATAAATTAAGTGTTGATAATGTTCGTTTAGAGCGGTGCTATAGATTGGGCCAACAACGGAAAGTTAGTATTAGGTTCATTTACTGTAGTTTTTTGGACTATGGTGATAAAAGTAAGATTAGAAGAGCGGCATTTAAATTAAAAGGAACTAGGATATTTATAATGGATGACCTTCCTCCTTTAACTAGAGATATAAGGAAAATAATGAATGATTTTGCAAGAGAAAAAAAAATTGGGTGCTTCAATTACTTATTTAAATAATAGAAATGCGGTTAAAGTTGATAATAAAATTTATAAATATAATATAGTTTCTAAGAAAATGGAAGAACAAATGTCAACTTGACTGGAAATAGGTACGTCGGTACTTTCATGGAATTGTGAAGTATTGTAAATAAGCCTATCTCTTTTTGGAATTTTTTGTATACTTTTGATATAATTTTTTTTAATGGAAACGTGGTGGGATGGCAGGTCTGCTATTCCCAATTTGCAAAATATGGATAAATTTTCTGTTTTTTCGAAGGCAGGTTATTGAGAGGCTGATAGAGGNTGAATGATTTTGCAAGAGAAAAAAAAATTGGGTGCTTCAATTACTTATTTAAATAATAGAAATGCGGTTAAAGTTGATAATAAAATTTATAAATATAATATAGTTTCTAAGAAAATGGAAGAACAAATGTCAACTTGACTGGAAGTAGGTACGTTGGTACTTTCATGGAATTGTGAAGGTATTGCAAATAAGCCTATCTTTTTTTGGAATTTTTTGTATACTTATAATATAATTTTTTTAATGGAAACGTGGTGGGATGGCAGGTCTGCTATTCCCGGTTTTCTGTTTTTTCGGAGGCAGGTTATTGAAAGGCTGATAGAGGTCGCTGTATTGGTGGCTGGTTGTTGTTGTCTAATTCTTGGAAAGTAAATATTTTGAAAAAAGACAGGCATTGGATTGTTGTGGAATTGACTATAGGGCCTATAGTAATTTCTTTCTGTTTTATGTATATAAGACCTGCATTATGGAATACTATTTGGACAGAGGTAGTTAGGTTGGTTAATTGTTATAAGATAGATTTTTTAATTAGTGATTTTAATGCTCGCATTGGGGTAGAATTACAGGAATGGATTTACGATAGTAATGAGGATATCAATCAGGATTGGATGTTGAGGTTATCAAAAGATACATTAATAAATAATCGTGGAAAATTGGTGTTGGATTTTTGTGAAGATGCAGGATATATTATTTTGAA